ATCCCTCAACCTTCCGGGTGGTAGGTGCGGCCTTCCCTTGGAAATTCGACTAATCAATGCAGAGTTGAAAAGGAGGTGTAACCTGTGACCCCAGGACCATCAAAAGGAGGGTGGAACCAAACCTTGGAGCATAAAGCCAGGTTGATTTTAACCCTGTGTGGGGAGCTCTAGTAGCAGTTTCTTCTACATCTGACCTTCGAAAGGACTTGTAGTAGGAGACAGAGTGCTTCGCGGTAGCATGGGTAAGTACTGTTCCGTGGAGCTGCTTTTTGAGTGTATTGAGTTCACTATTTAGTATTGAGTTGTGTGTGTATTGAGTTCGCTATTTAGTGGAGCTGCTTTTTGAGTGTATTGAGTTCACTATTTAGTATTGAGTTGTGTGTGTATTGAGTTCACTATTTAGGATGGATTTTAAATCCCTATCAAAAAAATTTTTGAAAATCACAAATGGGAACCGTTTTATCATCCTAGAACCAGGTGGGGAGTGGACCTTGGCTGGTAGACTAACAGTGTTATAAACGGCCTTAATCTACAGCTGTTTCGGGCCAGCGGCTGGCCTCAAACTTTCAAACCAAAGTAGGAAAATAAATAAACTCTCAAGAAAGCAAATGCCTGGTTACAATTTCCTTGAAATTGCATTTTTAAATTTTGTTTCAAAATGATATTGCCTTTCATTGCAAGAAATGGCTAGGTCTATTTTATGCTAACACGTTTAAATTATTATAAAGAGAGTAAACTTATTTTCTCTTTTTTTCCTCTTCAATTATCTCTGTAAATGGCACTGCCATCCACCCAATGGCTTGAGCAAAAATTAGGCTCCTCACTCATTCCTGATTCCTGTTCTCTCACCCGCTTCATCCAACAGCAAACTGGAAGACTATCTCCATTTCCCCTCTCCCTCCATTTCTCCTCTCTTGCCACCACAAGCTCCCAACCTCCAACAGGCTTTTCCTAGACTACTAGCCTCAGGGATTTCTTTTTCCTGCTTTCACTCCTGCCTGCCTTAATCCATTCTTCCCAAATCGGCCTGAGTAGCCTCAGCCTGAATCGGAGCGTGCTGATTTCCTTGTCTGAAAGAAACCCATTAATGGCGCCCTGCGTTTGGGAACGACCTGCAGATGGTTCCCTCCTGCGCGCCCCCGACCTTGTCTCTGACCTCTGCGGCCTCCGCCCGCCATTTTGTGTAACAAGCCCGGCTTTCTTTCCATCCAGCAAGCTAATCCCTCTGTGCTTTCTGCTGCAGCTTGAAAAGAACACTCTCCTTCCACCCCTTTCAGCTGGCTAATACTTCTTTTTCAGATGCTTCTGCTAGTGCTTCCTTGGAGGCCTCTGCAGACATTCTTTTTAAAAGATAGCCTCCTCCATTTTTCCTCTTATTGGTTTCATTTCATAGCATTTTTCTCAACCGGAAACTAGCTACCCTCTTATAAAAACTTTATTTACATTTCTATCACACACAGATGGAGGTTCCATGAAAACCAGGGTCTTTGTGTCTTTTTTGCTGCCTCAGAGTCAGCTCTGGGGGAATTCCCTGACAGCCGAGTGGTTTCCCTTCCCTGCCATGAGGCCAGTTCGATCCCTGGTAGGAGAACTAAGATACAGTAAGCCATGGGGTACAGCCAAAAAAAAAAATTTTTTTTAAGCGTCAGCACCTAACAATGTTTGCTACAAATATCAAATGACTGAATAAGTAAACGATGTACTTTGAAAGTACTTACATCACAATTTGAGAAATAGAAAATATAATATATAGTCTCATGCCATTAAGTAATACATGTAACAACCAGACTTTGTTTTCATACCACGCTTAACCAGTACGTTTTCCATGTAGCTATTTATACCACCAGAGGATGTAGTTGAGTATCAACAGGAGTGTTCTCATAATAAATTACCATTTCAATTTATACATCATTCTCACAAGCTTGCATATTGTGAGAAATGGCATGGTCAGAGATCTGACAAATTATCTTCTTTTAAAAAGATGAGTGCTGTATACGTTAGCATCACTGATAGGCAACTTTTTCTTCGAGTAAATTAATTTTTTATAGGATTGCTAAATCAGGTATTACCAGTCTGGTGACTAAATGCATATTCATCAATTAGTTTTTATACAACTAATACATAGTGTGTACATCATTATATAAAACTTTTGAGTGCTGGGGCATGTGGATAAGACACAGAGACCCTTGCTCTCTTAGAGCTTACAGACTGGTAGGAAAGACAGATCTGAAATAATCAGAACCAAGGGGCTCTGGTCAGTGTACAGTAGAGAGCTAGGAGAGCATTTAGCTTTGAGACTTGAATAGACACTGAGAATCAAGGAAAGCGGGCCTGAGCAAATGCTGTTTAAGCAGAGATTTTTAATTCTTGGTAACAGCTTGGTATTTATCCTAGGTTTTTTGGGGGGGGGGGGGAGATACAGTTGATTACAGTAATATGTAAGTTACAGATGTACATATGAGGCTAGGTAGTATTTTGTTGAGAGGAAAGAGCTTAGCACTTTATTGAGAGTTTAAAAAAAGAAAGGAGAGTTTATTTGGCTGGAAATGAAATAGGAGAGCTGGAGATGGCAAGAGATAAGTTTGTAGAAAAAAGCTGGAGTCAAACAAATTGCAGCTACTTTAAATGAGCTGATTTATGGAGTGGGCTATTGTCTTTCCTACTTAAACTTTAGGTCTATCACTAGTGGTTTTGCTCCAAAAGTGCTATATTCACTAATACAAAATGAAACAAAAATTATTGTTTAGCTATGAGAGCAAGATTTTGTTAGGCAAATATTCCTGGATACAGTCTCCTTGACTGGAGAGAATAAATAATAATGCTTATACCATTAACTCTATTATTAGGAATATAACATATAAACAGCTTTATAATATTTTTTTAAAGGCATGTTTAAAAATAACCACCTCAAAAGAATGATGTCAATTTATTTCTGGAGAAAGAAAACATGCAATAAAAACAAAATGTGCACTTTAGTTGGTAAGGAAGAGTTTTAAATGTTTTAAATATGAGTATATATATATAGTATAGAAATATATATTTATTACATTTAAACATCTTCCCTGAGCAATTTATATATAAATATGACATACTTATTTAAATATACAATACATTCATATAAAAATACCTATTTTACTAGTATAATATGTATATATAAATGTTTAAGAAGACATTTAAAAATCTTCCCTTAGCAATTTAAAAATATCATATAACATTTATATTTTCTCTGTGTGTGTGTGTATGGCTAAGGCATGCAGGATCTTAGTTCCCCAATCAAGGATCAAACCCTCAGCCCCTGCATTGGAAGTATGGAGTCTTAGCTACTAGACTGTGACAGAAATCCCCATTTATATATTTTATACATATAAGTAAATTTATATAATACATATATAGTCTGTACAGTGTTATATATTTACATATTATTTATTTATACCTATATAAGTATACATTATACAAATTACTTATACTAAGGTATATACTAAATATGCATATTTAGTATATATATACTGGATATATATTATTTACTAAATATATACATACTAAAGTATATTAGTGATTTATGTGATGTGTATGTACTTTATATATAAATGTATGCGTTTGTATATACAGTGCTTAAGAAGACATGAAAGCATGTTTTGTTTTCATTCTGTGTATTATTTTACCAAAAGTAAATGACACAAAATTTTGAGGAAGTATTTTTAAATAGTTATTTAAAAAGCACTTAATTTTTGTTCCTAGAGCAAGACATCAGGCTAAAATTAAAGAGATCTTATAAAAGATCTTTAGATCCTTTACTTAATTGCTTAACTGTTTTAACGATTAAGCAAAGGGCTCTTAGGAAGAATATAATCATGCTGTCTCATACTACTACTTTTAGATTTTTTTTAAAAAAAGATCAAAAACCATGTGTGGCCAAATTCCCCTGTGCCTTTATTTTGACTTGCACTGATAGAAGACGGGAATGCGTGGATTTCATGTGGTTTATTCTCTGGATCCCCATCTTCTAGAACAAGGGTGGGCAAGCTACAGCCACGCACCGAATCAGTCTCTGCTGTAAACTGTCCATCCTCCAAGTGCTGTCTATGGCTGCTTCCATGCCACAGTGAGGTTGAATGGCTATGACATAGTCCTGCAGGACCCACAAAGCTTAAATCGGTCTCATTACAGAAAAAGCTTGCTGCCCTTGGTCTAGAAGAGTACCTGGCACTTAGCAAGATCCTATATTTACTTGCAGAATGAATACAAAGGTGAACTAACAGTAGCTCACATGAGCAGTCAGCATTTGCTCTATGCCATGAAGTGTACTGAGCACTTTAAATGCAGTATTTGAATTTCACAGAAGATTTACATAAGAATGTAGGCCTATCTTGCTCCCTCACCTCCTTCAAGTTTTTAATCTGCTACCACTCCCTCAGTCAAGGTTTACCTGGAGCTCCTTATTGAAAATTGCAAACTTCTGCTTTCTACTAGTCCCTTGGCTTATTCCATATAACATACAATGTATGTTACTTATTTTTTGTGCCCAGGAGAGCATATACTGTATGAGGCATACTTTTTTTTTTTTTTTTTTTTTTGGTGTATCTATTCACTGGTCTCTCAACCCACAAGTAGCCTAGAATAGCACTAGTACATCATGAGTGACCAGTAGATGTTAGCTGATCAATTAGAAAGGTCTGATAACATGTGGGGGGTACCCAGGAAAGAAATTGTTATGATCCAAGTCTTACGTACTTCACAACTAATTCTCTTACTCTCTTGGAGAATTAGTCAAAGATGTAAATGTAGTGATTTTGTTATTAGAAAGTGAGTTCTAGGCCATTTTTTTAGGTCATTTTCCAATTATGGCTTAAATTGAGACTATATTAATTGGAATACATTTCACCTAATGACTGCTATCTCAAACAGGTGCTTGCTGAAGACAATTCAGGCCGATCACTCCGACCCGGAAGTGGTTGATCTATCCTGGTGTAAATCTTCAAAGAGGGAATTAACAGGACACCATGGACCAGCAGCTGAAGAAACGGGGAACGACACCTCGCCAGAGAGGCCTGGGTGGAAGGGCTGCCAGTGGGGACAAGTCGCCACCAGCCCGGCAGGAACCTCCTGACACGACATGGATCTTAAGTGACGAGGATGTGTGCTATGAGACTCGTTTTCGGGTTGTCGAAGAGGATTCCTTCTCTGACTGTTACATAGAATGCATAATAAGAGGTGAGTTTTCTGAACCTATAGTGGAAGAGGACCCACTCCTTCAGTCCTTTGAATATCTGAAAGAAGGATCAGAACAAGACCTTTCTCAACAGGTTCTTGCGGCAAGCTCACTTCTTGAATGTTCCCTGGAATACATGAAAAGGGATGCGAAACAAGAACTTCCTCAACAGAATGTTGGAGAGAATCCACTTCTTGAGTTTTCTGAGTACAAGCCAAGCAACAAGCTTCCTCCCGGAGGAATACCCAACACGGACTTTTCAGATCCTAAACAGCTCACGGGATGCACAAGAAGGAAGCCAAGTACAAATAAAGAATGTGGTGCTCCAGAAAAACATGTCTGTCCTCATGATGGATGCATAAGAGAGTTCAAGAATAAAACATCCCTGAGAAAGCATCTTCGAGTTCATAATCCCCGAGATCATGTGTGTGCAGAATGTGGGAAAGCCTTCAAGGAAAGTGCAAAGCTAAAAAGACATTTTCTGGTTCATACTGGAGAGAAGCCATTTCCATGCACTTTTGAAGGGTGTGGAAAACGCTTTTCCCTGTCCTTCAACTTGCGTACACACGTGCGCATCCACACTGGGGAGAAACCTTTTGTGTGTCCTTTTGTAGGCTGTCGCAAGAAATTTATTCAGTCAAATAACATGAAAGCCCACCTCTTGACTCATGCAAAGGACAATAGGAGTCTGTGAGAAAAGATTAAAAAATAATCATCAAACAGGATAGGCATATATTAACTAAAGAGTTACTGGGAACAAATATGCCTCATTGATAATTGGTTCAGAAAACAATTTTAAAATCAATATTGTGAGCCTCAAGCCATTTTTTTTAATGTTACTAAGATGCTCCTCTAATCTGAGATATTATTTTAGAACTTTGTGTAGAATTACAACATGCTTCTAACAGTAAGGTCAGTAATGAACTTACTTCAAAAGCATAATCCTTAATATCTTAACAAATTGGATTTTTGGATATGAGACTTAATATCTCATACTATAAATAAGAAATTGACTTTTTTTCATTTTGTAGTGTTCAATCATTTAGCTTTTCCCCTTTAGCAAAATACTTCTTAATACAAGTGATAATTCTAGAGAATGAAAATTTTCTAGTAGATTCTCAATAAATTAATGCATAGTTAAAATTTTTCAAGTTAAGCATATTGTTTAATCATTTTATTTTTTATGATTGTGTCAAACCATGTTAATCATAGTAGATATAGTTAGCTGATGATGTCAATCCATTTGAATCCATTTTAGATATTTTAAAATAAAAGGAAATAAAACCCTAGAAATGTATTAAATCGATTAAAAAAATCAAAGAAGTGTGCATTAAAAAGTCATTTAGTTGTCTTCCAAATTAGCAAAACATGGTAAAAATTGATTGTTTAGTGTCAGTGAGGTGTAGGGGGAGGGGTGTGCTAGCCAGTTTTCTGGAACTGCCATAACAATACCACCAACTGGGTGACTTAAACAATAGATATTTGTTGTCTCATAGTTCTGGAGCTAGAAGTTCAAAAAAAGGTATTGGCAATATTGGTTCCTTCCTAGGGTTGTAAAGGTAGACTGTTCCAGATGTGTCTTATTGGCTTGAAGATGACTATCTTCAGGGTTACGTGGCATTTGCCTATATCTTCACATTATCCCTCTGCATGCCTGTGTTCAGATTTCCTCTTAAAAGGACATTAGACAGACTAGATTAGAACCCACCCTGATGATGCCCTCATTGTAACTTGGTCTATAAAGATGACCATCTCCAAATGAGGTTACATTACGAGGTACTGGGGGTTAGGATTTCAACATGGATTTTTGAGGGTACACAGTTCAAACCATAATGAGTGTTTTTTTAGGCCAAATAATTTCTAGAATTCCATTTTACAGAATATGTGCACTAATGTAGGTAATTTGTTCAAAGATGTTGACTAAAACATGTTTTAATAGTAGTCTGATTCATAATACAAATGTCCATTAAAAGGGAACAAGTTGCATAAATCTTTATTCAGTAGGAAATATGCAAATATCCTTAAAGGGAGCTAGGCTGTAAAGGGAAAGAAGGAGGTCCACAGCCAGAGGGAAGCCACGGGAGGAAGTATGTACCATAAACAACTTTTCAGGGGGAAAGTCAACACACAATATAAACATCAAACTGAAAATTAATCTTCCTTTTAGAAATGCCAAAAGTAAAACTATATGTAATTTTTTTTTTTTTTTTTTAGGAAAACAAATCAAGGGCTTACATTTTTACTTAAGAACAAACTAATTACTACTGTGGTGGTTTAGTTGCTAAATTGTGTCCAATTCTTCCAACCCCACGGACTGTAGCCTGCCAGGCTCCTCTGTCCATGGGATTCTCCAGGCAAGAATACTGGAATGGGTTGCCATTTCCTTCTCCAGAGGACCTTCCTGACCCAGGAATCGAACCCATGTCTCCTGCATTGCAGGCAGATTCTTTACTGACTGAGCTAGGAGAGAAGCTTCAACAGGACTATGTAAAAGGAAGGATTAAATAGAGAGCAGTCAAGACTAGAGAAATTCAGTGGCAAGGTTTAGGCTGTAAATTGAGAGCTGGGACTCAGGGCATCAGGAAGGATCCCGTGTGTGTGCAGGCTGGTCTCCTTCAGAGATGACTTTTGGAGCTGAAGGGGCCAAAGTCTCAGCATTTATAACCCTAACCTGTAAATGTACAAGGAGCATCAGCCTGAGAAAGTGCTTGTGTATCTGGATTCCAAAACTAAGTTAAATTCTGACCTGAGAATAGGAAGTTACTTGACTAGCCTCCTAACTGTTCTTGTTTGTCTTTTATGTCTCCAGACACCGGCATTTTACAAACCGGAAACCCTGGTCAATAAATATTTTTGTTTTCACACTGATATTTGGATTCATGGCATGTATCCTTTCTTTTTTTAATTTATTTAATGGCCAAATACAGTTAAAGTTAACACTAAAGAAATACACTCTACAAAAAAACTTTGGTATCATTGTAATATATGGGGCATAATTAGTTAGCAGTTATAAATTATGGAATGAATAAATGTATAAAAATGCAGCTTAATATGCTTTTTAAAAACTAATCACAGGGCTTCCCTTGTGGCTCAGTGGTAAAGAATCTACCTGCCAATGCAGGAGACTCAGGTTCGATGCCTGATCCAGGAGGATCCCACATGCTGTGGAGCAACTAAGCCTGTGCTCTACAACTACTGAGCGCATGCGTCCCGGGGTCTACGCTCTGCAACAGGAGAAGCCGCTGCAGTGAGGAGCCGGGGCACCACCCGGAGAGCGCGGTCCCTGCTCTCTGCAGCTAGAGAAAGACTGTGTGCACCAGCAAAGACCCAGAACAGCCAAAAAGAAGTAAATAAACTTCCTTTCAGGTTCTTAAAGGTCACCAAAATCACATGTATTTTAAAACAGCTAGTAAAACACTACTTGTTTTTACACAAAGTCTGGTTATACCAAAATAAAGGTGGAAACTATAGAGAAGGGTTTAATTACCTATGCATATGTCAACTCATTCCCAAAAGTAATCACTACACAAAAAAGCTTTTTTTTAATGGTCATTTTTGTTAATAGTCAAAATTATCTGAAATCCCGTATCTTTTTTTTCTTTTTGTCTTCCTCTAAAAGGGGCAGGAGTTTGAGGGTCTGTTCAACGCCTAACATCTTAGATAATGAAGAACTATGCCTTGAGAATTATATCAACCAAGGCTGTGATTAGATAGTTAACAACATGTTAAACCACTTACATTCCTACTCTATGATATGTGCACAGGTGATAAGAGACTGCGTCTCCCAGTCATATTTGATTTCTGTATTTCACCTTAGCTACACTGTGCACTGGTGGACATAGGATTTCCCTTCTATTCTATCCAGAAAGATCTCTGCAAAAGAACTGTCAGATTCTTATATTACTTTCCTGCCAAATATGCATGTGCAGAAATCTGTGTGTGCTTATGTTTTAATTACCTAATGCACTAGCTCTGACTGAATAAATTGCATGATTACATCCTACACTGGACACAGAACACTGCAAGTTATATTAAAAAGCCATTAAATTTGCAACTCTGAGCAAGAGACTATAATTAAAAGGCAATTGGATGAAATTAGCTCTGAGAGTACAAGAGTTTAAGTAGGATTTGGTAAATGAACATTTAACGGTTAACATGTGCTTTTTATTAGGTCTTTTGCTTCTTTTCTCTATGACCCAAGGGTTGAATTTCTTTCATGTCAGTGGATCAGACATGTGAAAACACCTGTACAAAGCTATGCTTTACAATGTGGCTAAAGTTATATCCATAAAAAAAGCCAAAATAACTTTTGTGACTTCAGTAAATCAAGGTATTAGGTGAGCCAGAATGATACCCTGGGCATTAATAAACTATTTTTAATACTCCTAAGATCTCAGGTATGTGTCATAAAAGGCAAACTACATGCTTCCTGCAACTGCATATGTTGATCATAAAATACACATGCAGAAATCAAAGAAATACAACTTCAGTGAATTTTGATTATCATGACCATTAAATATTTTAGAAGTTATTGAAGTAGTGAAGGACAGGGAAGCCTGGCATGCTGCAGTCCATGAGGTAACAGAGTCGGACAAGACCTAGAGACTGAACAACAATAACAAAGTTACACACAATAGATGTAATAGCACCTCATCTTTATCTAAGACAGCCAACACATTTGCAAACTGCTGAGGACTTAGCGTGGTACTTACTGATACTTGGCAGGGGGCAGTGGAAATCTCTATGCTTATCAAATAAAGATTTTATGGCAGTTTAGGGATGACTGCAAATTCTCTGCTACTCTTCCAATTGAGAGTTGGGGTCTATAATCCTTTGTCTTGAGTCTGCTTGGTCTGCTTTGATCAACAGGGTGTGGTATAATTGACGCCATAAGAGCTAAGCCTACTTCAGGCCTAGTCTCTAAGAGACCTGGCAGCTACTGCCTTGTTCTTGCTGAAACCAACTGTCATCTTAAGAAGCACAATTACCTGAAGACTACCATCCCAGGAAAACCAGCAGCTATTGCAACAGGAGCTGATGCAAGCCGTTTGCACAGGCCCAGCGGGACAAGACATGGAGATAGCAAAGCCAAGGAGTCATGACGTGCCAGGGGTTCAAATGAAAGAGCCATCTTGGAAGGATCATCCTGCCACACTCACCCCAGGTGACACCAAATCAACTGTAGGGCCTAGATGGCCCTTTTCCAAATTTCTCACCCACAAAAGGATGAGAAAAGTAAGATGATTTCTTTTTTTACATCGTGACTATAGTTTATAATTTGTAAAATTAAAATTTGCTAAGAGTGGAACTTAAAAATTCTTATCATATACATGTACACATACATATATGCAATCATCACAATGTAGAGTTGAAATATCTTACAATTTTATTTGTCAATTACACAATTTTATTTGTCAATTACAGTGCAAACAAGCTGAAAAAATTAAATGGTTGTTTTAAGCCATTTGAATTTTGGGGTTAGTTCACTGCACAGCAATAGATAACATACTTTCCACTTTGGAGATGTAATTTGAATTTCATAGTCTGCTTTGTATTTTTGTGTTGTATGTATATATACATATAGATTTTGCTGTTTTACTAGTTTATGCCAAAATTTAAAAAGAATTTTTAAATTTATATAGACCTCTTTTTTTTGGCCACCGGATTTTTGGGATTTATGGGGTTTTTGTTCCC